TTTAATTATGTGCATTCACTATATTTTTCAAGTAAAGTAATTTACACTAATTTAAAAAATATATGTTACAATAATATGTGGATGTGAAAGTCGTGTGTCGAAATACTATCGGAGCGCTGTCAGGCGATCTTCTGAATGTAAACAAAAAACACCCCATCTGGTGACCGAAGCTTCGAAACAGTGCTTAACTTCTAGTAACAGTTTGGCCACTCTTTCCTTTCTTACCTCCATGGCTTAAAGTAGAGTGCAATGAAAGAAACCACTGGCAGTACATTTCTTAAGAGCCACTGCTAGCTCAATAGAAAGGTGATTTAAATAAACAGATCTCTTTATACACAACATTTCTTGTGTTGATCTTTCTATCATTTTTAAGCTCGCCTTGCAGAGGACCAACCATTATTTTTAATTTTACGTCCGTGCTTTCACGAGCTCTTGAACAGGCAACATAAATTTGAGAGTGTCCAAATGCAGGCTCCGGTAAAAAAATGCCAACACGCTTAAGAGTTTGGCCCTGAGACTTATGGATGGTCATAGCAAGGCAAGTTTTACAGGAAATTGTTATGTCTCAATTGAAACAGGCAACCCTGTACCATGGCAACTTTCCCCCGTTGGCTAGTACAGTTACGCAAGCAACCAATAAACTATCGGCGACAAACAGACACGTAAGCTGCATATAATAAAAATATTTACTTATTTCATTTTATTTGTTTTTCATTGTTGCCGGGTTTTGCCAGTTGCATATTTCCGAATTCTATTCTATATAGATGTTAAATTTATTTATTAAATGTTAAATGCATGTGCTCTTGTATTTTTAATTTTTTCAGCTCAGCTCTCTCATAATATTCGTCACACGCTGCACTGCACTGGGAAATAAAACAAGTTATGTACGAAGCAACCAATAAACTATCGGCACAAACAGATGTAAATTTTTTATTAAATGTTAAATGCATTGCTCTTTTATTTAATTTTTGGGTTAGCTTTCTCATAATATTCGTCACGCACTGCGCTGCACAGGTAATAAAACAATTTACAGTTACGCAAGCAACCAATAAACTATCGGCGACAAACACTTAAACCGTATTAGATAAATTTCATCAAAATGATGATAATATAGTAAAACATAAGCTTTTCGAAATTTCATTTTTTCTAATGAAGAGTTCTTGAACAACTTTTCGCTTTTGGGGATGTGAATTCTTTTATTAAACGATTCTAAACTTGTTGATTTTAAAATAAGTTTCTATAGACAGTTTAAAAATTTTTTGATCTGGGAATTTTCGACGATTTTTTAAAGATTATAACATTGATAGGTTTCATTAAAATAATAGTAGTGTATTGAAAGAAAAAATTTTTTTTTCGCTGTAATATTATAAAGTGACATTGTTTTTCATTTTAGTGATTTGTTATTCAATATTTTGAATTTGAAAAATAAACAAAGTGATAAATGCTATAAAGCGTGATTTACGAAAGAAACGAAACAAGTCTTAGCAAAAGCAAAATAGCTATGTAATTAATTAAAAATGCCTTCTTTTTTAATTTTTTCATGGTAAGAGTTTTTCCCATATAATTGTCTCAGAATGTGCGTCAGTTTTCTCTATAAAATTAATTTTACACCTTTTCCCCTCTGATTCTTTTTATAGCCCAAAGGGACAATTTGCCCAGAAATTTTGTTTTGGCATTTTGCGTCATCCACTCTAAAACGGCATTTTGCTTTTCAAATTTTTGCCACTAAATATTAGAGAGAATAAGTAATATTTAAAGAAATTAAATAATGAAGAATCTGCATGAATGTATGTATGTATCTCTGGTTGTGAAAAACAACAGTACCTGGAAACATCAAACTTTGAATAACATAGTCCTCCACTTGAATATGGGCATCTGGAAACCCAAATTTGGAATTTGTTTTATTATCAGTTTCATATTTTAACAAATTTTTGAGTAACAAACTCAACAATTTCAAAGCGAGCAATAACAACACTACGAAAAAAAAAGCATTTTTATCTCCAGCATGTGAGACTGTGTATCAAAAATTTTAAAGGTATGCTATTTTTTAATATTTTCTGATATTGCTGTTGAATTAAATTTTATGGTTAAGTGTGTATAACATGATATTTAATAAATAAAGATAACACACAAAATGTTTAAAAGATGCCCCTTTTCTTAATATAAAATCTGAAAGCTTTCAAATGTATTATTATTTATTTTTTTTTTCCCAAAAAATATTTCTGTCTCTTTGCTGTTTCAGAATTAGCAAGGGTAAGTTTTCTTTAAGATTTTAGACATTGCAACATGGAAAGTTTAGAAGGATTTACAGACCTTCGATTCTAGATTTCAGGAAAATGTGGCAAAATGAAAAATGTCTTCATGGTATTAACATGTAATGGATGTATTTTACAGAAAATTTGTGATGAATTTCTTACTTTCTGGAGAATTTTTAGAAGAACAATGAAAACATAATATTTGAATATTTTACTTCTGATACTGGAAGTCATTTTTTCAACATGTTTATCTTTCCTTTATTTTCTCTCCTTTTTACTATGCAGAAAGAAGCCTTCAAAATTTCAAAAAAATATTTCTAACCTTATCACATGGGCAGGCATTTGTAGAAAGGAATTTTTGTAGCAGTAAAGAAAGTAAAAACCGACAATTTATAAGATTTATCTTGTATATTCAAAATGGCATTTTGTACCAGAAGTTCAAATCGGATGATGGAAAGGCATTCCATTGGCAGATTATACTCCCAATATCTCGGTTGCCGCAGCTGTCTAACAGGAGGCCATTTCGAAATAATGAATACTTTTCATAGAGTTCAAGAGTGCTTCTAGTGGGTTAGTGCAAGGGATGATGTGTAAAAGTGCTGCCATCTTACAATGGCAGTGTGGGCTGGAAAAGATTGAAAAAACACAGCTGAGGGAAACTTTAACATTAGAATGTTGGAGCTTTTTTTTTTTTTTTTGAATGTATTGCCTTTGACATCCTGGGACCTCTGCCATAAACTACTGATGGCAACAAATAAATTCTCGTTGTCATTGATTACTTCACCAAGCATATCCTATTCCTGATCAAGAGGCTGTCACAGCAGAGGTAATGATGCATTGGATTTTCCAGGTTGAGTGCCTCTTCAGTTATATTTCGATTAAGGAAGAAATTTTTCATTGGCTGTAATTAAAGGACTCTGCTAGCTACTCCAGCATGACAAGTTACAACATCAACTGATCAAGAGTCACGGAGTCACAAAAAAAGTCAGGTAAGACCAGCTGGAAGATGACAATATTAAACCCATAATTGCCTTAATGGGGTCTTCAAACTGAAAACCTACCTCGCGTGACATTTTGATCTATAGTCCTAGGCCAACACAATATTGGACTCACTCCACATTCAAAATGACTTCTTGTACCAGAAATTCAAATCAGATAATGGAAAGACCTTCTGGTGGCAACTTATACTTCCAAGATTCCAAATCATGGACGTCTTTAAAGAACTACATAGCAGCACTGCAAGAGGGCACTTCGGAATAATGAAGACTTTGCAGAATAATGAAGTTCGAGAGCACTTCTACCGCAGTAATGCAAAGGATGACATGCAAAAATTGTGCCAATCTTGCATTGCCTGAGTGGGTCGGAAAGGAACGAAGAAATGTAGCTGAGGGAAGCTGCAGCATTATGATGTAGGAGTGCCTTTTGAACATATCGCCTTTCACATCCTGGGACCTCTGCCACAAACTGGTGATGGCAACAAATATCCTTGCTGTCATTGATTACTTCACCAAGTGGCCTGTAGTGTATCCATTCCTGATCAAGAGGCTGTCGCAGTAGCTGAGGCAATGATGCAGCATTCGGTTTTCAGGTTCAGAGTGCCTCTCCAGTTACATTTGTATCAAGGAAGAAACTTTACCTTGGCTGTAATTAGAGCTCTGAAAGCTACTTGACATAGACAAAACCCCAATGATACCTTTATATCCCCAGTCAGATTGACATAGCATTAAGATTTAATTGAACCATCCTTAATAACCTCTCACTGATGGTTTCTAGAAACCAGCAGGACTAATCAGAAGATATGACTGTTTACTGGCCTATAACACTGCTGTCCACGAAACTAGTGGCTGTTTTGTATCACAGATGCTTTTTGTCTGATCTCCTGTTTGATCATGCTCTGAGTGCATCTTCATCACCTGAGGAGCACATCCAAGATATGCAGGCATGATTTGATATGACATATAATTTTGCACAACAGCGAAACAACTTAGCGGTGTAGAAAATGAAAATCTGATACAGCATGAGGGCTACAGGACATCGATTCAACGGTGACAAGGTGTGGTTATGGAATTCAGTTCAACAGAAAGGACTTTCCTAAACTTGTGAGCTTGGGACGGTCCGTAATAAGCTGAATGGTTTGATAGTTCAGATCTGTAAGTTATCAAATTCTGAGAATAGAGTCATTCATTACGATTAGGCTAGCCCCTTACTATGGCCATAGTTTAAAGTCCCTATAGTGTTTATAATGTAAATAGTATTCTAAGACCATAGTCATAGTTGTATATAAATTTGTAAATTTATGCATTTATTTGTTGGTTTAGATTTTATTTGTTTTATATTATGTGCTGAAATTATAGTTTTAGTATTTTATTGATTTTCCATAGTTGTAAGTATGGCGACACTCACTGTTATCTGCAGATCTTGGGATGTATGATGCATGGCTGCAAGGATATTTAATATGTTTGCCTAACCTAATAGTGGATGAATTAAGTTACTATAAATATTAATTACTTTCATTCCTATATTTAATCCTTAAGTTTTAATATCTATATAGGAAAGGTTTCTATGAAATTTAGTTAATATCTATCAAGAACCAACAAATATGTCTTTTTAATGGCACTATTTTTATCAGATTTCATTGCATGCATTAAAAAGGGATTTTTACTACATAAATAATATATATGATTTTCCAGCATTAAATTTTATCAATAGCAATAATTTGAAATTTGTACAAGTTTACTAGATTTGAATCTAATTAACTAAGTAAATCTTTTGCAGGTGCTGATCCTACACTGAAGAATAATGAGAATAAAACTGCTTTTGATTTAGCAAAAGATTCCTGCACAGCAGCTTTGCTGAAACCATATCAGAGGCATTGTAAGTGTAATTTAATTTTTTATTTGATGAATTAAGTTACTAATATTGCATTACAATTTTGCATATATGTTTTGGTGTGCTTTGAATTATGCATAATGATTTTCATTCTCAGCATCTTAAATTCATTTGTAATTAATATCGTAAAACTGTGCTGTGTAAGAATGCTGTATTTAAAGATAATTTATGTTCTATCACTTACTAAGAATCCAAATTTGTATTTTTAAAATTAATTTTCTATGAAAGTTGTTAGTACATTTTCTGTTTTATATATTTCTTATGGTCAACTTTGAATATAAAATTGTAAAAAAATGCATAAAATATAGTTAGTTTAATTATTAAAAAAATAAGTATACTGTGAAGTTCTTGTTACGGTAAATTGTTATGTCTTAAAAATCACAAAAGAATATTTCAAATGATTGGTAGAACAAAATAGTATTTAAAGTTTAAAATTAAAAATAATTTATTTATAAATGTGAAAATGTTAAATTTTTAAGAACTAAATACATTAATTTCAAATTAGTGTGGCACAATTTCTTATGCTTAAAGAATAAATACAATAAATTTGCTATTTTTACTTCCTTGTTCGAAGTAAAAAGGAAGTATTGTAATCGCGAAAAGTTTCAGGCAGCATATTTCAACGAAAATGTCAATTTTGACCGCTATTGAATGCAATTTAACGATGTTTTTGCGTGATATCTGTACGTAAGGACAGAATAAAATACTCTTTTCCTTCAAAAAAAATTATAAAACTGCTTTAAAAATGAATTCTGAAGAGAATTTTTCGTGGCGTCTGTACGAACGTATGTACGTACGTACATATATCGCATAACTCAAAAATGAGTAGGCTCAGAACGGTGAAATTTTGTATATAGGACTGCTATAACATGTAGATGTGCACCTCGTATTTTGGTTACAATCGGCCGCACCAAACGTATATAAATATATTTATATAGAGTGGATCCACTCTATTACCCGGCTCAGTGATCTCAGTTTTTTTTATATGTTTGTAAATTGTACATTTTTGCTTTAAAAATGATTGAATTATGTTGTTTTTATCTTCTGATTAAGGATTTTATGACTTTAGTAAATCTGTGTGGAATATTTTTAGAATTATGAGCAGTTTTAAAGTTGTTTAATTGCCGCTAAGCCTGTTTTTAATGGCGGCCATTGATGTTTACATTTGAAACAGAAGACTAGTGGATTTGTTGCCAATCTAGAGAAACTGAGCTTCGCAACAACAAAGATAGCACATTTATTTATTATTGCCAATTAAATCATGCTTAATTCTTTCTGGAATTTTTCGAGGAAATAAGCGTTTGAGATATACTTCGTAATTTTTAATATAGATATTTTGAGTTTTTATGTATTATTGCCTTCTCGGGAAGTGAGAACTGAATTAATTAAATGAGAAATACTGAATCGTCTGTGAAAAACTGTTTCTTTTTTGTTTTGTTTGCTTAATTTCTTTTATACATCGTTCTAGCTTTATTATAATATTTGAATAGATCATGTGGCAACGATTAGATAATTCTTTAAATGATATAAATTTTGTGCATTCTGAGTTATAATATGAACGAAATATAATACTGTTAAGTAAACCTAGCGCCATAGTGTCGCTATGGTAAAGTGAATTTTAAAGAATTTTAAAGGTTAAGTGAATTTTAAAGAATGCATTTATTCTATTGTGGTTTATGTGCTGTTGGTGAAGTAGGTTTAATTCAATCTAATAAGTTTAATAAAATGCAAGAAAAAATGTGTATAATTTAATATTCCGTACAAGGAAGTCATGTGGCGTACACATCAGATGATTTTAATACAGGAAGACTATTTGCCAGTAATTTAAATTTAAAAAATCCTTTGAATCCACTGGCATATTACAGATGTGTAAGAATTATATATCTCAGTTATCTTCTAATTATATATTTAAATGAACACTCTGATATTCAAATGTAAACAAATATAATTGAATTATTATGGAGGAAAACAGTTATACAGTGAAACCTCGAGATATGAGCACTTCTACATATGAGAAATTCGAGATATGAGGAAAGTATGAGCGAAAAACTCGTCTCTAAATACAAGCATTGATTTGAGTAATGAGCAATGAGCCAGGCTGTTGGTATGCATGCATGGCGCTATTTCACAATCTGGCTCAGGGAATCCCCTCATCAGATCACTCAGTGTTCTTTCATCTACGTGTTTGTGTGCTTGTGAGTTAATTGTTTTTTACATTTAATATGAAAAAAAATTTTTCACGATGCCTCCCAAGAAGATTATTGCCTCAGATAGTGCTGCAAAGAAAATGAAGGAAACCATGGCCGTTGATATTAAGAACGAAGTCATACATTAACATAAGCGTGGTGTTAGAGTGACGGAATTAGTGAAGACTTATGGCCATTCGACATCAACAATCTGCACTATTCTGAATAAGAATGAAGAAGTTAAGAAACTTAATGTGGCCAATGGAGTTGCCGTTACTTCTAAGCACCGTCCAAAATTTCTAGAAGATGTTGAGAAGCTATTGTTGGTGTGCATTAACGAGAAGCAGTTAAAAGGCGATTAGGTGTTGGAAGCTATCATAAAGGTAAACTACGGTTATATTATTTACAAATGTTATTTATTAGAAAAATTGATCTTTATGTTCATATTTATGGAGGTGCAGAACAGATTAACTGGATTTCCATTATTTTCAATGGGGAAGTTTCTTTCTAGATGCAAGAAATTCGCTATACAAGCTCCATGCTGGAACAAATTAAACTTGTATCTCGAGGTTCCACTGTATACTAATCGCACCTTTTCCTTCTAAAAGTTATTTACTTACAAAATAAGCTCAGTAGGTATAAAATAAAAATAAAAGATACTTTTTTTTTCCATTAAAGCCATCCCATACAGTTTTGGGATGTTAGTGCATTTTGGCTTATTTCTTTCCCCTCGTTTTTCACTTGATACTAGATGGAATGATCAGGAATAGAAATATTCTGTTATTTCATGCAAAATGCTCCAAATACCCATATTAAAGAAAGAAAATGACCTGTGTTATTTGTTTGTTTTTGTGAAAAAGCTTTTGTCAATTTCCGCAATTTTGTTGCATCCATCAATTTTACTTAAGGACAAAATAGTGAGGAACTGGTAAGGTAGTTTCTTATGCAAGTATTCCAATCAACCACTGATTCATTTGAAGCAAGTTTGGTGTGCAAAACTCGGTAATGTTAATTCTTGACATTTTAAGTAAATAAATTCTATGGCAGTGATGAGGTATGCATGTTCCAACAAACTAAATTGGTATTTAGAACCTTATCTTCTTAGCGGGAATGAAGACTGAATAACCATTTTAACTTCTGTCACATTTAAATTTCATGAAATGACTATTCAAACTCGCACTATATCTTTATAGTATTCAAACTCACACTTATCCCTATCTTCTATCACTTCTTTCTTTGTGAAAAACATCTCTTTCTTGAAGAAATGGCTTATGATGGAATCCATCCAGGAAGGAAGCCAAACCAACTCTCAACATATGGGAATAAGAAAATATTTGGGGGGGGGGAGAACAGAAAAGCATTGTAATTATTTTTTAAGAAAAGAATTTAATAATTGATTATCATCAGCGATATATGACAGTATGCCTCGTTTTGAGAGCAAGAATGTAATTGTATATAAAAACTAAATTTTTGGAATAGTTATCAACAGTTCTGTATTAGTATAAAACTGCATTCAGTACTTTAAAATATTGTTACACTGCATTACAAAATTAATTAATAATTAATTAGTTGTGTAATAATAAAGAAAAAGTTGCTAATTTACAAGAAACTTTCCATCAGAATTTTTTCTTTAATAGGAATAAAAAGTATTATATATAAAATACTTCAGCTGTTATTTGTTTCTGTTAGTTGTAATGCAGATATTGAATATTACAGCTATGCATCTGCTGATATTAAGTGTAGTAATTAAATGTAGCTATATGTTGATAATATCGTTTTTTTTTTTTTTTCCTAGTTATAGCAACTTACTTCTAAAAAAGTGTAAAATGAGATTTTAATTTTTATATTAGAATAAGCAATACTTATATATTAACTAGCTGCTACTGATATACCACCAATAATCTTTTGGTGATGAAATATAAATTGATGCCAGCAGCTAGATTAAATATATTTCTTAAATTACAGCAAGTATAGTTGGGCAGTTGCATGAAACAACTAATCTCTACTTTTATATTATCTGTATTAAACAAAAAGACAAGTGACTTTGAACCAGTTTCCAGTTTTTATTATAGCACTTTATTAGCAGTTGTTAATATTACGTTTTCATTAGTATTATCTTCTGTTATGTGTAGTTTCGCAGCACAACAAATGCAACACTTGCTGTTTTTTGCAAAATATCATATCCCTGGGCTTCATTTCACAGCAAATTTAGTAAATATATGATGACAGCTATTTGCATTTCTTTGTCTGGGGGGGGGATAAACCATTTCCTGCTGAAAATTCTCAGGATATTTTTTTTTTTCTTGAGTTAGTGTTTAATAAATTATCTCTCACTGTGATTAGTTTAAAATTGACATTGAAATAAAAAAAAAGGAATCAATCTTCAATATTTCTCTTGACTACTGCCCCAACAGGCATGAGGAAATCTTTACAAAAAGAATCCAGAACATTCTTAGGAAAGCAAGAGTCATGAATGATATTGGCATTTAAATCAGTAGGTGTCCTTTAATAGTCAAGTCCTGAATAAGCATTTCATCAATATTTTTGTTATATTTAATGAAATATAAGACTGAAGATATATATTTCTCATAGTCAGAATTTTTTATACTTAAAATTTATGATTTGGAAAAACTATTGAGCAGGACAGCTGTGAATTAGATTATGATGAAATGTGCTGTGTAACCTTTTATTATCCTGCTTTCATATGTACCCGTATTAAAATTTTCAATGTTGCTATTTTATAATTATTCATAAATTTAGAGAATAAATGCTAGACCTTAGCCTTTTCCCACTGTTTGTGTACTGAATTAACACACAGTTCCTCTAAGTACTTTCATTCCATTCAGTATCAGTGGGTTGGATACTTTTTATATACAGACTTTAAATCCTAAATAGCATGCTGGTACTAGTCTTTGATTTTTATTAAATTTAAATTTGATATGTAATTTTCTTTTCTTTTTACTAGCATCGTTTGCTGATGCTGAAGAGTATGGAGACAGTGATGATTCTGAATAAGATTTGCACTTATTGAAAGAATAAAAAGGCATTATTTCACAGTTCATACATGAACTAGTCAGTATTCTAAAGCTTGTACATTGTGTAAAAGTGTTTGCAATTGTTGAGTATTTGTTTAAAAAATAAATAAGCAGACAAGGAGTTATCTGCTAAAATATACTTGCACCTAAAACAGAAAAATCATAAAATTATTATTGAGAGAAGTATACATGTATGTAAAATATTGTATTGTACATGCCTTTTATTAAAATATAATAATTAATCTCAATAGTTAATATTAAAAAAATCAGCATCATTGTAATCCCTCGCTTAATATGGTTAATTAATCTCTGTAGTATAGCATATTAAATGAAACCGTATTAAACAATTATAAAAACAAATATTGCAGGTGTTGTTAATTACAATAATGAAATAATGTTAACTTTCATATTGCAGTAATAAAACATAATAATTACTGTAATTTTATAAAAAATTAAATATAGTAGATTATTTAAACTATTTTTCAGAACTTTTTTTTTAACATTTCTCATATAAAGGAAGTTAAAAGGAACAAAATAAAATACTAGAAACTGTAAATATTTTCTTTGCATAAGGAATTTCGTTTTCATAAATATATTAATTTGACAAAAGAATTACCTAATTTAGTTTGAATGCACTCTATTTCCTCTTAATTTCTCCCCTCCCTGTAGCATCTCATTGCATTATAATCATTAAGCAAACTTATCTGATTTTTCCAAGATTTGGATTATTAAATTTGTTAGTTTTTGCTTTAACCTTTAAGTCATATTTGTAAATTTATCATCATATTTGTGCAAAAGCATATTGATTCTGCATTAATGAAATTGCCATTAATCAAATAGTGACAGCATGAGTTTGGTAGTTCTTGCACATTTGTTGTTTGTTTCATTGCAGTTTAATTCAATTCTATCAAAAACAATTTCAGCCATAACTGCTGTTACTTATTAGCTAAGCCCAATAAAATTATTTATGCAGTTCAAATCTCTGCAAATCATACAGCTGTCATATTTTACATCACTCATTTAAACTTGATTAATATAAACAAGTTATCAGTCATGTTCGGCATTAATTGGATCATGTTAAAAGAAATCCATTCCATGTCAGTCTGCTATTAATATACTCTGTTTCAACTTGACAGCATTGAGTTAAGCAAAGGATAACCTATATGCATTTTATAATTTTACAAAAATTTATTCTAATATTATGATATCTACTGTATGCGTTTTTGATTAGTATTCATGATTAGTGCAAAAAAATATGGAGATACTGGTGACTTTAAAATTTTGTGTTTACTTTTATACATAAAGATTATTTCATATATGATCATCCGGGATTGCTAATCTTGTGTTTCAGCAACACATGTTTTATTGTTGAAACTGTTAAATTTCTTTTATATTTATAAAAATTTATTTCTTTCTCATGTGTATTATTATTATTATTTTAATTCTTACCTCCTATAAGATGCATTAACAAACTGAATTATTTAAAACATAACAAAATGAATTATCACCTGCACATCTCTCTGCTATAAAACATTTTGCATACTTAAGTATTCTTAGTTATCTATGAATATTTTGAATTTACATTATTTTAAAACACACGAATCGTGACGTTCTAATTTGTGCTCATTCATTCTAATCATTAAATTATATTCTTTGTACCCCCTTCAAAAAAACCACTAGTTTATTAGTTTTAATATTTTCTGCAAGCTAATTTTTTTCTTCAAGTTCTCAAAATATATCAAAACTACATTTATTGATTTTAATGAACATTTATTTTGTAAATAATTTTACATTTTTACTTTTTATATTATAAAAGAAAATTTTTACTTTTTATATTATAAAAAGATATTTTTAAGCAGTATGTTTATATTAGTAAAGTGATGAAAAGCGTTTGCAGGTGTTCAAGTGATTTAAATATTTCACATCTTTTCCGTTGCTTTATATTTATATGTTCATACTCGATATTAATATACTTTTCTGTTTTTTTTTTTTTTTATAAAAATATTGCAGCTTTGCTAAAATGAATTTAATTATAAGTATAAAATATGCTTTAAAAATGGAAGATTAGCCATAAAATGATTATATAACATTTCTTGTAAGAGTACTTAAAAATAAATTATTTTTGTAATATTATATGTATATAACTTGTATGTCTAGTTTCCCTATGTAACTGTAGATGTCTTTTAGTGTTTTCATATCTGCAGATATTTGTCAGCATGAAAAACACTGAATTAGAGTAGATTGATATGCTCTATTTTTATCTTGCAAGTTAATATAAATTTGTATTTTTAATAAATAATTTTCATAATAAACATTATGTACTTTTCGCTAATAAAAATATTTTGATAAAACATATCAGATGTGGGCTACTTCAAATGCAATTTTTATTCACATATTGTGATTCCTTTTAACACTTTAAATAGTAATAACAGGCTAGATAAATTAACATCAATATAGGGTTAAATATTTCATAGTTTCTTTTAATAATTCGTACTACTTTACAGTTCCAACTACTGATTAAATAAAATATTATTTCAACCATATTTAAGAGAGACTTCCAAAAACAGGGTTCGTACAGTGCTTAAGAGTCCTTACATTTTTTGGAATCGATTTTTGGTCCTTAAAAGTCCTTAATTTTGGCCAAAATCAGCAGAAGGTCCTTAATTTTAATCATCTGAAATTTCTGTTTGCTTTTATGACTGCCATTTTAAGTGTGAATTAGCATTTTGGAGGAATATTTTTGGCAATTCACTGACACATATGGTGATCTTTTGAATAGGTTCATGGGTTATAATTTGTTTCTATTTCTAATATAAATGATGGGATACTCAAGTTTCTTAGCAAGAAGTGAAACATAAGCATTTTTTTTTTAAATTCATTTTTTCTAATAAAGAAATCTTAAACAACTTTTCGCTTTTGGGGATGTGAATTCTTTTATTAAATGGTTCTAAATTTGGCAACTTGTCTACATTTTGGCGATTTTAAGATCAGTTTCTATAGAACATTTTTAATTCCGAGATCTGAAAATTTTTCGACGATTTTTTTAAAACATCATAACAAATTTCATTAAAATAATGGTAACATACTGAAATAATATTTAAAAAATAACATTAAAATAAAACATTTTTTTATTTTTTGCTGTCATATTATAAAGTTTCATTTTAGCAAATTATATACTTGTACAATTTTTTGAATCTGAAAAATAAACAAGGTTTATACCTTATTTATTTTTTTGTTACCTTGTTTTATTAAAAAGCATAATTTATGAAAAATTTATTTTGCTAAAAAGCATAATTTATAAAACAGCTCTTAGCAAAAGCAAAATTAGCTATGTAATTAATTAAAAATGTCTTCTTTTTAATTTTTTCATAGTCGGCGTTTTTCCTATGTAATTGTCTCAGAATATTCAAAATTCTCAGAAAATGCATCAGTTTTCTCTATAAAATTAATTTTGCACTTTTTCCTCCCCCCTTTTTTTCCCAAAATATTTCTAGCTTTTTGCTGTTACAGAATTGGTAGGGATAATTTTTCTTTAGTATTTTGGACATTGCAGCTTGGAAAGTTTAGAAGGATTTGAAGGCAAGATAGACGCACGATTCTAGAAGATTCGAGAAATTTGTGACAAAATGAAAAATATCTCCATAGTATCAACACAAAATGATGTATTTTACAAAAAGATTGCAATGAATTTCTTACTTTTTGTAGAATGTTTGGAAGAACAATGAAAACATAATATTTGAATGTTTTACTCCTGATACTAGAATCTTTCTCTAACATGTTTATCTTCCCTTTATTTTCTCTACTCCTTACTAGACAAGAGCATTGAAAGTATCAAAAATGCTTGGGCAGGCATTATAGAAAGGGATTTTTTTATTAATAAAGAAATTCAAAACTTACACTTTATCTAATATGTCTTAATGCATCATACACAGAGCAAGCACTAGACATTTTCCCACCTGATGCAATCTCTGTGGATCCTAAATTCTGCTTCCGATGCCTGCTCTAAATGCTAAAAGTTTTGCCATTTCTAGATTTTGTTCCATGTGTCACTAAATTCTAAAAATTCTGCTACACCAGCTCTGTAATCGGTATTTCTATTTCCTCAAATGATAGAGTTATTGAGCCAGATTAAATTAAAATTAAATTGTACAATCTTTGACCACTAGTACACATTTTGAGTTTGAATTTGACTGCTCTTGTTTAATTGCATGACCGTGAGCTGTAATTGATTTTGTTAGCATAAGAACATGCCTTTCTTTTTTAAAAAGAGGCTAAACCTTTGTCTGATATTGTACGAGGGCAATTCCAAAAAAAAGGTCTCCTATTTTTTAGGGACATAGAGAAAGTTTTAATAAGGTTGTTGGCAACACTGTTGTGAGTGGTGCCTTCTCCGCTACCACATAAGCATGCAGGCGCTTGGCTCGGATGCTCAGTCTTGGCTTGGCAGCCATTTGAAATGGAGCTCCCGACAAATGTTACCGCGAAGTGCGCGCAGTTATTCGATTTTTGAATGCAAAAGGCGTTAAACCAGTTGAAATTCACCGCCTATTGACGGAAGTGTGTGGACAGTCGTGCATGGATGTCAAAAACGTTCGCAAGTGGCGTAGAGTTTACAGCCGGTCGTACTGAAATTCATGATGAAGAAAGAAGCGAAGCCGTCAATTGCCGACGAGACAATCGCGAAAGTTGAGGAACTCATGCGTAAAATTCGGAGGATCACTCTGGATGCTCTCTGCATTTTGGTTCCTGAGTTTTCCAGAAGCACCATCCACAGGATTTTAACGGAAAAGTTGCAATATCGGAAGGTGTGTGCAAGATGGGTGCCGCGTATGCTGACAGAAGATCACAAACGGCAATGGGCACCCAGCGATTTCCACCTGTTCCCTAAGTTCAAGGAACATTTGTCTGGACGACGGTCACCGATGATGAGGTGAAAGATGAGGTTCAACGCTTCCTGAAAAGCATGGCGGCAAGCTGGTATGACATGGGCATTGTAAAACTGCCACAGCGTCTACAAAAATGCATCGAATGAAATGGCGATTATGTTGAAAAATAAAGCATTCTTCAATCTTTAAAGTGATGTAGCAATTATAGAAAATAAACGGTTCTTTGTACAGTAAGACCCCGCTTAACGCTGTTTTGGTTTAGCGCTCTTTTATTTCAACCCGGGGATTCTCCGAAATTGTGCGCAGCGCTAGGTTTCCAAATAACATATCCGAAACAGTGTAGTTGTGTTTCTTGCTTTGTGGACGCATTTTTATCATTTGAAACATTTGTTGACATTATTGTAAGTTTAAATTTGTATAATACTATAACGATCAATACAGTGACAAATATTATGATCTTTAGTTTTTATCATGGGTGATAATAAAAAACAAAGAAAAGAAAGCAACCAGAAAAAGCATTTCACTGGAAACTCAAATGCAAGTGATTAGAAGATTAGATTCTGGTGAACGTCAATCTCAAATTAGTGCTGCATTGAATTTTGGCAACTTCAACAATAAGGACAATTCTTAAAGAATAAAAAAAAAATACTGTCATCGGCAACTGCCAACTACGTCAAGCTCTGCAACTAGAATTACTCGTTCTAGAAATAAACATTATAGAGGAAATGGAAAATCACGACTTGTCTATATGGATTGACGACCGAAATTGAACGTAATATGCCATTAAGCCAATCTCATAATGCCTTCTTGACAAAAGGCAGAAAAATTGGGAAACCCCAGAATAGACTGAATGATCTGACTGAGAATTTTATTTGTTTTTTAAAAGTATATGCGTTTATATTGTTTTTATTTTTGTAAGAAATAAATGTTTGATTTTATTTTTATTAAAAAAACATTATTAAATTTATTGCCTAACCATTTTTTATCAGTCTTCCCCTAACCCTATTATTTACATGTTAAGATAGCCTCGCTTAGCGCTGTTTCGCATTACGCTCTACTTCGATGGAACGTATCCCCCACGTTAAGCGGGGTCTTACTGTATATCTAAAAATATAGGAGACCTTTTTTTGGGGATTGCTCTCGTAGTTACTTTCAGACATAGCAATAATTTGCTTCACGTCTGTGTGGGGTTTGGGACTATTCAACTTGTACCAAATCAAGTAAACTCTCATAGGTATATTGTGGAGAGGTTGATAAATTGGGAGATAAAGCACGCAGAAACTAGCGAGAGCATTGATTTGCATATTGAGACAAAACTCTCATTGTTATAAAAGATGCTTAAAGAGAAGGACATCGATATAAAATAGCCAAAATGTTTAGGAAGGCTTCACATTAAAATGATGGTTAAATATTTTGTTTTGTAGCTTTTAATGTGTAATTGTCCTAATATTGTTTAAGAATCAATAGGCCTTTTTTAACAAATGTTAAAAAATAAAATTTAATAGCAGCCATGTAAAATCCATAATAACTAAAGTTGTCTAATTTCCTAATTTCATTATTTATAATTAACTGCTTACCCTTAAAAATTATTTCTACATATTAAAGAGAGTTATTGCCTTTCATTAATACTCACTGAGGTCACAAGATAAAACACAAAAATGTAAAAATTCAAGTAAAACTTACTTTTTGCATTTAGTGAGACTTAAAATAAAACAAAACAAATTTTAGAAATTAGATACACATGGCTAAAATAAATACTTTAGAAAAGTCTATAACCACTTCCCCCCCCTTTTTTTTTAATTCCACTAATTTTAAAAGCTAAAGCTATTGGAAGCACATTAGTGTGTTAAAATTTTCAGTGGGCTAATTTTCTGAAGTCTTATTTTGGCATTTTTTTAAGTGATTGTAAATGGCTACTGTTTATTTGGATTACAGTTGTTGAGTTTTTGTAGCACTACTAAATAAGTTATTCTCTTTCTTCAATTTTAAAATATTTTACAATGAAAAACAATTTAGAAATTGTGTTGCAGTGTCTTAAAAATTCATAGGTCAACAATGTCAAAAATTCATTTTTTTAATTATGGGAATTTTTCAATTTATAAATGGAAATATAAATAATAAATTCAAAAATACTAATATTTTTATGTTTTATTACTTTCTGTATCTATTTCATCATTATTAACATGACTAAAATCTTCAGTTTCTTGATCTCTGTCTGGTAAAGGCTTTAAGTGTACTGGCAGTAAATCTCCTAAAGTGCTTGATCTTGCACAACGATATGCATGCCTAGATATTGAAATAAATTGTACAAACTAATTATAACAAAATATTTAATAAAAAACTATATTAATAATACAGAGAACAACTTCAAGTCAAGGAAAACATATCTATTTACTTTTAAATTTCAAACTATGTTTTAATCTCTCAGTGGCAGATGTATACAGTACAAAGTCTATAATCCGGACGTCCATTATCCAGCATGATCTATAATACAGACCTCAAAGCCACAAACTTTTTGCGTGCGCGAAGACAACGCACATACATTACGCATGCATGTAATGTATGCTTTACGCATATGCACGTTGAAAGAAATGTTTAATAAAGTAAACAAATAAATATTAAGCTTTTTTTTGTAAAATTTGATCATAATTGCTCTTTATTGCATAAATTACGGTTTCATACTTTAATTGTATAATTTCTGCTTGCAATCTTATCAGATTTAAATTGATGATCCATAATCCAGAATCGCCGAAGTCCCGATGAGTCCGGATTACGGACTTTGTACTGTAGTAACACTTGTGGCCATTAAAATGCAAGCTATATTAAAGTCATATCTACTACAAATAATATAAGCATTGAAAGTAAATTGATTAAAATTACAGCTTTGTTGACATGCGGAATGCAAAGAAATCAATGTTCATGTAACCATAGTGACCTAACAATTATTGCTGTGATATGCCTGGCATTAAAAAACAAGGCTTTTCATTATTTTTGAAATATGTCAGTCCCTGCTGTTCTCACATGCTATCAAAGTTCATTTGTTAAGTTGTGGGGGCTGCTAGCTGGGCCAATCATTTGCCAGTCATCAGCCAAATATGCTTGATGGGTGACATATTAACCCCTGAACTGCCGTGGGCATATATATATGCCCTTCCATTCATTTGCTTTGCACTGCTACCCGTAAAATTATTCGCAGCTTTGGAATGCAACACCACAATGACCTTGACAAAGTATGCAAAGGAGGATACTATTTCAGAGAAGTCTGGGGAGAAATTGAAGAGAGGGGTGTGTCTAAAGCAGTGAAAGTAATGACTGCACGGTATTGGCTGGTGTTGTTTGAGTAAAACATTTTTTTTTTTTTTAATTCTGTGTCCTCCGTTTTCGTTTAATTTTTGTAGTAGGTTCCAGGAATAAAGAAAAATATAACGGATGTTTCAAACCCATTATCTTTTTTGAATTATTTTTTGATGAACTGCTCATGCTTCATATTGCTACTGAAACTAACCGTTTTGTAGACCAACACCTTGCAAACGAAAAATCAAGAACAAAATCGTGGCATTCAACCATTTCAGGAAAAATATGTTTTTTTTTTTTTTTTTTAAGCATACTGATTTCACAAGGTATAACAGTGAAACCTGATATTACACTTTACTGGTCTAAAAATGAATTGATTGAAACTCCATTTTAGGGATCTTTTTTATTATAAAAACATCATTTTTTATTATACTTTTACTCAAAACATTAAATTTTGTGCATTCATTTTTTTTTCTTTTATTCTTTATTTTGTGAAAGTAAACAGTTTTTAGAAAGTAAAACTTGCATTTATCTTCCTCCTAATACATCGCATAACTACGCGCGCCTGTGTGAAAATCCGTGGCAGTTAAGGGGTTAAGAGAGCAGGCAGATCTAGTCAATAATACAACCTGGTAATCAATGTTAAAAGTTTCAGCATTGCATGTCATATGCATTCATACATTATATCCTGCTAAAACTCTTCTGCAAACAACCTTGAAGGTAAGGAAGGACAACTGACTCAAAGCTTCAGAGATGAAGCAGGCTGTTAACTGTGCTGGCAATGCATATCAGGCAAGTGTGAGAATGCTGCAAATCATAACTCCAGATGAGGGGAATAGCATTTCAATGCATAATCACAACAATCTTATGCAAGTTTGGGTGCACAATAGTGGCAGACATCATGATCTGTCAAACTCAGAAACTAGCTTATAGAATTTTTTTTTTTAGCGTATACGGAAATGCTTCCATTGCTAAGCAACAATGAGCAAACACGCAGTTCTTGCACTTAAAAAAAAAAGCTTGTTATTTTCCCTTTTTATAATGGTTTTAGGTAGTCTTATTGAAATATATGCTTTTGTTCACACTTCAATTCTAATTACTTCCATGCCCTGCCGAGGTTTATGCATGGTGCGAATTTCAAGCCTCCTTCATGGTGTTGCATTTTGTGTGGCCTGCAATCTAGCTATGAATTGCTTGCACTTATTATTTTGTTCTTTAAAATATTGCTTAGTATGAAAGCAAACTTGGCAGTTTACCAAAATAATTGTAGAATGGGGTTATTATTAAAAACTGCATTGGTGAAAAGTAACATAATAACTCAATGGCCTTTATTTCTCACTAGCAAATCTTATCTATCTAATAAATGTCTGATTTTGACTTAAATTTTCTACGTTTCAGTTTCACCGCAAGTTGACGGTGCCATTGTAAAGCATTGTGCCTTTCTGTTAATTATTTGAATTAAATAAAGGGTTACTTTCGCCCTTCTTCTGTGCTAGTAATTTATTCATACCTGTGTGAAAATTCGCTAGGTTCATTGTAGGATTTAATTTAATTTGTGGAATAACAGACATAGATCTTACAGCACATATTAAAGGCCACCAGTTACAGCAGTGCATGCAGATTGGTTTTGATTTATTTCACTAGAGGAAAGCATGAGGGCTAGATGCCTAAGAGGAGTGATGCCCTTTGTGGAGGACTTTTTAAGGTAAACTGCCTTGTGCCCACAATTGCACATGGTGAAAACCACGAAAACACTCATGCAGCCAGGTTCTGAACATGAGTCGAACTACCAGTGTTCAGCAAATTTACTACTGAGCCACTGGTGGACAGAATTGTATTTTATGTTGCCCTTTAGGCTTTTCACAATTATATATGTATTCTCTTATCTGAATTAACTTTCAATATATTAAGAAATACCACATATAAAAAAGAGGAAGATCAAGTAGCCACATTCCCGGCAAAGTGATACAGTTGCCAACCTTATTATTAAAGTATTATCAAGCTATTTATCGGGTACAAAGAACCATGATGCAAATAATTCTCATTTTAAGTTAGATTTTCCTGACTTTATGAATGCCATGTATTTCAGGTTTGAGCTTTCTCGAAAGTAATGAAAATGTGTACAAAGATGGGGGGGAACATAATTTTATACCATACTGTAATGAAATTAAATATAATTAAAAAGATTACTCGATTTTGAAATATCTTCAGAAACAGAGAAAAAGCATTTGAAATTCAACTGTAATTTTGAAAAATATGCACATTTACCTTCCGTGCCTAGATTTTGTTACTATAATATCATGGAGTTTCCCATCACTGCAACAAAGACGGCAATGCACATGTTTAGGTCTTTTCAATACAGGTTTTACAAGTCTGGGCCAGGATATATCAGCTAAATAAAAGTTTTTAAAAAATGTCATAAAACCAAAAATACTGAGAATTAGTAATGGTAATTTAAAAGCACTACAGCTTTTTTAATGGATATCCATCTAAGGAAGGCCTGCCAGTCTTAAACTGGATTAATTTACGAAGGAGGAGAAGTTGATTTTTGTGCATTAAAGGGAATGAACATCCATTAAAATTAGCTGCTAAATACCTAGAAAAAAATTATTAAATATGCATTCTGATCACCAAAGGCAAAATCTGGAAATAGTTTGAAAGTCTAGAAGTTGTTAAAAATAACATTACATTTGATTTCCAAATACAGTTACCTATATTTGGCAATGTAATGCTATTTTAGAAATTCATTTGCAATTTTTATTCATTGATACAATTTAAACAGTACAAAGTCTGAGATCCGGAATGATCTAAAATCTGGACTTTAAAGCGACCAACAAGCCTTTTTGTTGTTGTATGCTTTATGCATGCACATTTGATCTCCCCCCCCAATAATAAAACATGTGGAGAGTCCTGATTCCTAATTTCACTTTGGCTTTGAATAAAATACCTTGTTATTGACGAAACAATCATTTTAGCATAAATGTGTGTGATCAATAATTTGGCTCCATAGCTGCATATCAGCTTGGCATACTCTCAGACCGAAACATTCTACATGAAAACTATGTTATTTTAGACCTACTAATATTTATATATTCTTGTCGCCAATCTAGCAAAATATTATATTTCGGTTTCATCACCGAATGTTTATCATCACATGATAACTAAGTAACGACGCATGCAAAGATACATAAACAATTTTTTATACTAGAAATTGTATAATAAAGAGTATAGTAAACTTTTATATTGACATTACACTTGGCAATAATTACAGATTATAAGTTAAATGTGCTTAAAAAATGTTGATGAGAAAAATTTAACAAAACTTTCTTTCCATATTCTAAAAATAGATTTTGTTAATGATACTCATAAGCCAAAAGGCTACATTTAATGCTATTTGAATTAAGAATAACTGATTTGTTTGCTATTCATCACATAAACCCAGAACCAGCGCCAGAGCTTGCATGGCCGCACCGGGCTGCAGAATTTAGGGAAGACAAAATTTTTGAAATTTAGAGAAGCACCGAGCAACAGAATTACAGAATGACAAAATTTTTAGAATTCACACAGTGTGAACGAAAATTAGGGGCGCCAAAAATTTAGAACTTACGGAGGCAATGGTAGCAGAATTTAGAACCTACAGGTGGTAAGATATCTAGTGACGGCCCTTGATAAGCCTTAAGTATATGTGGGAATTTATTTATTCAGAATTCAGATAAACCTTAAACATGTGCAAGAAACAGACGTAAGTATAGTAAATAACTAGTACAATTCAGGTTTAAATGTCCCAGCACGTGATAGAAGCAAGAAAAAATTTAGTGAAACAACTTATCCTTTCTCGCCAGTCTCATGATTTATAGCCAATAATGCACAGCAGATGCTATTAAGCTAGTTTAAAATTACATTTTACTGATTCCACAGGAATTTCAGTTAATATTTCAGATTGTGCTGTTCCTTAACTTTCTGATTTGATCCATCTTTATTTTTGGCAGGCTGTTATTATTACAGCAATTTTATGAAAATTAAAGTATGAACATTTGATTATGTTGAAAAGTTTCTAATTCTAGAGCTGCAACAGGATCTACAAGTGAAAGCGTGTTTCGATGTCCATATGCGAGGAATATGGCATTGGAAAGTCAACTGTATATGACTTGACAAAACAGAATAAGAAATTTTTTGTGGATTCCAACATGTCACTCGCAATGAATAACAGAAAAATTATTTCGTTATGCTAAAAGTGATGATGATCATGACAAAGTGATAATTAAATGCATCGGCTCAAGCAAACAGCATTTGCAGGTCAGGTATCCGCACCTATAGCGCTACCCCAGTAGAACATGTAGCCGATTTTCGAACAACTATATTTCATAAATTGCAGCAGATGGTATAGATGAGAAATGAGGTGTAGCAATTACAGGCATAATAGGTATTCGTAGCAGGTACTGGGTGGTTATAATTAAAGTGACCCTATTCAGACCCCTCTAGAACCTGTTCTACTTATCGAATTTTGATGAAATTTGGTATATATGTTATATGGAACATAGGGAAACGATTTCTGCAATAAAAAAATAATTTGACATGGGCCCTTTTTGCAATCCCTTTAAACGATATTCATGCAATGCAGCTAAGCTATTGCTGCCATTGTGATAAAACAGTTTACCAGTAAAGCTCGATCTTTCTTCTGTAAAGGCATGATTAACAATGACATAGGCACACAGAATGATTTTTTGGCTCTGACTGCAAGTCTCTTTATAGGTTTGACTAATTTGCATAAGGAATTTTTGAAAATTGTCATCTAGTGGTCAAAATTTGAACTATTTTTTATTGCAGTCATATTTTCCCCATAGTCCATATATACCAAGTTTCATCAAAATTTCATATGCAGAACGGGTTCTACATGTGACAGAGGATGTGGGCACCACCCCTCTACTAATATGGTTAATTGGTATAGTGCCACGTCCACCTTTATCTAGATAACCATACGTGGTCATTATGCTAATACACTAATACATAAACATACATACAAATTTGATACTCAATACAGTGGCGTTAAAGCTAATTAATGTTTGACACCGGATAAAACATTCCCATGTTACAAGGTATATGCAAAAGCATGGATACAGTAGCATATATACATAACGTGTGTACTCATATGTTAAGTACACTATGATCCTTTGAAGCATTATCGTTAGATACACAAGACATGTACATGCTGAAATATTAGGTGCGCAATGTTATGCTGGAATAAGTAATTAGTACAGTGAATTAAAACAGGATTTGTAGCGGTCCTTACAAGTGCTTATAAATCCTTATATTTGAAAATAAAATATAAAAGCCCTTATAGTTGCTTATTTTTTGCTTTTAGTGCTTTTTTTTTAAATGAATGCACATTTTTCCCCCATACCAAAGCCAAAACTAAATAAATAACTTTTCTTCCTTATATGGAATGTCAGATGGTGAATCATATTCCCAGAAATAGCTTTTCGCCCCTTTCTCTGCATTAACATAACTTTTAATGCGTGCGAGTACAGACGGGTGCATGTCGCTCCATTGGTCAAAGAATTGCGAAAGCGGTAGAAAATTCCGATACATTTCGTATTCTTTTGTTCCCGACCAATACTACACACGTTTGAATTTCTATCAAGATTTTAATAATTTACATTCTCGTTCCACGTGGTCAGTTCATATTCGCGTTTATTATGATCCGTATGCTTATATTATGAGCATATGTATGAATATTTATAATAATATAGTTGCAGTAACTGCTGAAGTATAAACTTCAAAAATGGGTAAGTGTGTTTTAACACAGATTAGTTTTCTAAGGAATAATAATCGGAATGACATAAATAAAGTGAAGATAATCGAATAGTCAAAAATAAAGTGAAAAAAAAAATTTTTTTTCCCCCGATGCATTATACAGTACGGAAATTGGATCTCCGAAAAATCTCGAATATTGAATCCGTTAAAGCAACGACTTTTTTTTATGGTCAATTTCCAACCTGGATTGAATAGGACTAAAAGTTTTGCGGTCTACCAACCCAAGCGAAGAATGATTCTATTCCGGAAATTTAACGAAGCCTGTCCAAAATTAGAATGAAGAACACCCCAGATTGGTAAATCTCCTTATTAATCAATATGAGTATGGCAGTGTGATGTGTCCTGCTGAATGATAAATACACTACATGGGTGCATGACAGTGAAAACTGGACGAAGTAAAGGGGCGTTTTCCTTTATTTAGTTATTTATTCTCTGAGTACCGGCAGCTGTTGATTCCGATTGTGTAATATCACGTGCGGGAGAATTAAGGCGCATGTATTTCGCAGAGATAAAAGAGTTTTTCTGTGCTCGCTAAGCAGATTATTTTTCAGGTCCATTCGGCTATTTTTTATATGATGCACATATCGAAATGTCAAAAGCATTATTTAGCTAAAAAATCTAAAGAATGGCTACAATCTACCCTCTCTTCCTCTTTTATCAGTTACTCTCGACTATCCAGAATTTTCAGATATTCTGCAGTTTCCGAGTGTGCCGGTTAGTTAAGCTTTTAGTGTTAAAGGATGACTGCATGAAGCAATTTCCCATCTTCTGATTTCAGAAAAGTTCCTTTTTTTACTTATTTTTACTTAAATTACTTTGCTTGTAAAACTGTTACACAATGAAAATTTAGAAAATGTTCAGAATTTCGATTTAAGTTAAATTATTTAAATATTAATATGAGTGGAAAAATAAATTGTATTTATTTTCTCTATTTTGAACTGAAATTTCATCATTAAAACTTTTAATATAATTTAGTTCTGCATAGTTTTTTTTCTCTTATTGTAAACTAGTTCTGTAAATTGAACTGTTATTTAAAATTTGAAAAAAAAAAAAAAAAAAAAAAAAAAAAGAGAGAGAGAGAGAGAGAATGGTTGAGTAATGCTCATTCTCTCTTAATAAATACTGAATTTCTCATATTTTAAATTACAAGTCTAATTTTTCTTTTAAGATTATGCAGTTGTGTATAATGTAATTAGATAGGTCCTTATTTTTTTCTTAAAATGTGCTTGAAACATGCTTATAGGTGCTTTTTTTTTTTTTTTTTTTTTAAACTAAAATGTGGCTACGAACCCTGTAAAAGTTAGACCCTAGATTAGTACTGTGTGGTACAGTGTCTTGCTACTGGATTATTTGTGCTGTTTCCTAAGTACATTAACCAATGTACAAAGATATTAAAACATGTGTATTAGGTACACAGTAAGCAGTGGGTACCCAAGCGTTAGGTAAGTGTAAGTTAACAATAGGTACTTAATACAATGCTGAACAGATAATTGGTGCAGTTAATTTTAGAGTGGGACCCTAGTTTGATTTTTGCGATACAGTGTCGTGTTACAGGATAAAATGTGCAGATGCACAGTT